ACGAGCTCCTCGAGCGCCAGGTCGGGCCAGCGCTCGATGCCGGCGGGCCGCAGCTGCGCAGCTGGCCAGCGCCGCGTCCTGCGCGGGGGCGATTGCGCTTCAAGGCCTCGCGCAGCTGCGCCGGGCCCAGCTCGGCAATGTCGCCCTGATCGTGATGCCTCCGCAGCTCGGCCCAGAAGTCGTCGACGGCGTGGGTGCCCTCCTGCGCGGTCGCCCAGAACGCGCGCCGAGTCTTGGCCTCGTGGTCGGCCGAGTCCCACGGGTACACTTGGTGGTGCACCTGGCGTCGGCTATCGTCGGCAAGGCCGGAATACCTCAGCGATCCGAAGAGAGAACCGCGGCGCCCTGTGGCGTGGCCATCCAGTCCTTGAACAACCGCAGGGGGGCGCCCACGGCTCGGCTGCGCCCTCGGCGCAGGCAGCCCCACGCGGCCTCCAGCAGGCTCACCGCGCAAGGTGGAAGCAGATGTCGCAGATCGCGGGGCTGGCGACGGAGGCATGCCTAGGCAGGTAGCTGCAAACCTTGCGCAGCGCGCAGGGAGCGGCGCCCAGCAACGAGGGCGCGACGAGCGCGCGGAGGGGCCTCCAGCGCGAGGCGTCGGCACCGGGCGGCAGCGCGACGACGCCCCCCTCCAAGGGTGGCCGCAGCAGACGCGCGGGCCCCTTGGAGAAGCACGCGTGCTTGGCCACCAGGGCGTGGATCGCCGCCCCCCAACTGGCCGCGCAGTCGTGGTCGGGGAGCTCAGCCTGGGCGGCTCGGTCGGTAGCTCCGACCTGCGCCTCGACCAGGTGGGCGCCCTCCGTTCGTGAGCGGCCACCGCCCGCAGTCAAGGGCCACGGTCGCGGCGATGAGCGACATCCTCCACCTGGCGAACCCACCGGGCGCAGGCGTCGCTGACCTGCTCGGTGCGCGGCGCGCCCATGCGGCAGGCCGCGGGGGCGGCCGCGGCCGCCCGGGGCGCGGGGGCGGGGGCTCGAGCGCAGGCTGCGCGGCCCCAACTGCGAGCTGGGACCCCATGCCCATCTTCGCGATCATCAAGCATGACGTCGCCCAGGCTGGCGACGCGGGTGGCGGAGAAAACGCGGCGGGATATCAGGGGCCGTGGTTGCCTCGCCCCGGGAAAGTGGCCGCCCCGAGACTGATCTCCGCCGATCCCGTCAAACAACGCGGGATCATCCTGATCGTCGCCGCGCGCAGCCGCACCAGCAGCAGGGGCCAGAGCGGGCTGCTCGTCGCCACCGACGCCATCAGGTCGCCCAGGCGTCGCGCTCCTCATCGAGCACACCTCGCAGCCATCTCCACCTTCGAGCAGGGCGAAGGGGTCGGCCTCGTCACCACCCATCGCGCGGCACATCTGTCGCGGCGCAGTGGGCCCAACAGTGGGCGCGCCCCCCGCGAATAGGGAAGGCGCGCCGCTTCTCGGGCGAGCAGTGTCATTAGGGGCAACCATGACAAGCCCGCAATCCAAAGCCATCGACTCAACATGCCCAGGGCCGCTGGCCAGAGCGCTGCCAAGACCGCCCCGGCCCCCTTTCCAAAGGCGCCCCCGCGTTACGCCCCGCAAATGCCGGCCGAGCAGCCCAGCCAGCGGCAACAAGGCCCGCGGCGAACGGCGGCGATGGCGCAAAGGTCGCGAGGCGGCGGGCGCGCAGGGGGGCCACCGCCCCCGGCGCACGCCCCAGCCCAGGGGCGTATACCAGCGACGGGGGCTCGGCCAGAGCGACCTGCGGCGGCGGCGGGATGAGCGGCAGTTTTACTGCGCGCGAGTCCTCGCTGTCGCCGTCGCTGAGGCCCCCGTCGCCATCGCCGCCCGCGTCGGATGCCCCGCCGCCGCAGGCGTCGCGAACCCCGAAAAAACACGGGAGGAAGTCGACGCGTTTAGCCTTTCCAGCAGCGGCTCGAACCTGCGCCCCCAGCTTCTCGGACAACGCCGTCGGCGGGCGGCGAGGGCGAGCCCCTGCGGGCAGCGGCCGCGGGGCCGCGAACTGGCCGCTGCCGCGCAAGCTCAATGAGACGGTCTGCGCGTCGCCCACGGGCGCAATGCAGGGCAGGCGCGAGGCGGAGCGCGAGCCAATCGACGCGCGAGCCGCCCGCTCCCGCGGCGCACGTGGCCGCCGCGCCGCGCTGCAGGAGGCGGCGCCCGGCGCGCCCCGCGAAGCCGCGGCGCTGCAGGGCGGGCTGGGCCGAGACCGCAGTCGCCGAGCCCGAGCCGCGGCCTGCGGCGCCGCGAGCAGAGCCCCGCCGGCGAGCGCAGCAACGGAGATTGTCGCTGGCCCAGCCCAGGGAGGTGAAGGCGTTGAAGACCGCGGCGGCGGCCGCGTTGCCCTTCACGCGCAGCACGCCCGCCAGGAAGCCATCCAGGGTGGCGGCGGCGGGCGCGCGCAGCTGCTGCGGCGCAGGCGCGGCGGCCTCCAATCTGCGAGCGTGGAGGCGACGGCGCAAGCCATGTTCCACTCGCCCCCTTCCGAGACCGAACCTGGGGAAGGGCGCGCAGGTTTGGCGCGGGCGCGCCAGCTGGCCTGCCTCGCCTTGCGCCGCAAGTCCTCAAATTTGGGCTGCTGGCGCATGCGCCTCTCCGCCCGGCCCAGGAAGTCGCGGCCGTCGCTCTCGCCTCGGCGCGAAATGCCTCGCCTGCAGCCCCATGGCCGTCACGTCACTGCAAAAGAACGCCGTCTCGAGCACGCGCTGCTGCGCCGCCCGCTCGACGAGGGCCCCATCGACGTAGAAAAGGCCCCGCGGCGTCGCTGCGCAAGCAGTCGGCTGCAACTGCGGCTGCAGCGCCCGGATCGACACGGACAGCCTCCGCGCCAAAACAGCGCAACTGGATCGCCTCGCCAGCCGCGCCAGCGGCAGCGTCGTGCTCCGCTGACGGCGCCTGTCGTCAAAGGGCCCTCCCCCGAGGCCGCCGCCTCGGCGTCTCCCTTGCCCCCGCCCTGGGCCGCAGCCGCGGCCTGCTCGGCGGCGCGGAACTTCGCCTGGCTGAGCTGGTCGGCGGCAACGGCGATCGCGGGATCCACCTGGGGCGCGCCGCTGGCAGCTGGGGCAGCCGACGCGCTGCTACCCTGGGCCCCAGCAACAGGAGGTGGCGGAGCAGCGGGCGGCGCGGGCACGGCGGCCTGCGGCGGCGGCGGCCGGGGAGCAGCAGCATGGGTCGCGGCCTCGCCTGTCGGCTGGGCGCCGCCGTCGGGCCCCTTGCGCGTCTTGGCTGTGCGAAACTTGCTCGTTTCCGGCAGCCGCGTCGCCCGGGTCTGCTTTTCCTTGCCCTCCGCCGCATTGCGACCCGAGCAGGTCCCACAGGGCGCACAGCTCCTTGCACAAACCCGCCAGGCAGCGCTCCTTCTCGTCGACCTCATCCACGCCCTCGCCCGAAAAGGTGGAACCGTCCCACCGCAGCTGGAAGAGCCCCGCGGACTCGTCCTGATCGTCAGCCGCCGTGGACTGCGGGGCGCCGAGGGCTGCCACAGCCGCTGCCGCCTTTTGTTTGGCCGCCCGCAGACCCGCACGGCAGCGCAGGACCTGGCCAACCGCGCCCTGGTGGCGCCTGTGGAGGTCCTTGCACTCGGCCCGCCGCCCTGCGCAGCGCGTCGTCGAGCGAGGGCTCCTTCGCATTGGCGACCGCTGCCTGGGCGCGCGCCTCGACAATGCGAGCGGCGGCCTGCAGCTCAGGCGACACCGTGCCGTGCGCAGCCGCCGCGGCGCCCGCCAACATTTGCGTCGCCGTGACCAGTGCGGCGCCAGGCCGCTGCAAGGCGTGTGTGCCAGCGGGGGCATGGCTGCCTGCGCCGCCGCGCCCGCGGCCCGCACCAGGCCGAGGCTGGGAGGACGCGCGGGCGGCGTACTCGTTGGCGCCGCACGGGTAGCACCAGCCATTCTTCGTCAGGATGTCGTTCCAATCGCAGCGGCGGCAAGTCTGGCAGCGGGACCAGGGGCGCTCGAAGAGAATGAGGAGAACAAGGGGGAGGAGGAGGAAAAGGAGGAGGAGGAGAAAGAGGAGGAAAAGGTGCCCCAGGGGCCCAACATCAGTCTGGAGACGAATGGCCCAAGGACCTCAACGGCCCCGAAGACCTCTCCAGGCAGTCTGCCATCAAGACGCACTGGGGGCCCGAGAGGCCCAAGCCGCGCAAGGCGTCCCAACAGAAAACGGCTCGGCTCCCAAAGCCAGCCGCTCACACCGCCATTATCTGAGGGGGACGTAAGGGGGGATGGATCAGGGGGGCACACTGACCCAACATTGGCGACGCATCGCCGTCAGATCGGCGACGGGCTCCGATAGTATGAGCGAAAAGGCGCGTTCTTGGGCTGGGTGGGGGCCTAAAATCTCCAACGCACTGCGGTCCGCTCACGTCGCTGCGACAAAAACATGTTTTCTCCAGCGCGCCCCCCTCTTCGAAGTCACGACTCCGTCCCTGGTGTTGGTTCTTCATCCTGGATCGCTTTTGCCGACTGCTTCAGAGCACGGCATTTACCCCCAGTGGCCGCAGAGCGGGACAAAACAAATCCGCCTCGAGTCTTGTTCAAGACGCTAGATGTGTGCTTCCATACTTTCGCTCACCTGAGGGTGGCGTACCTGCCAAGCGGGGTCGGACCCAAGTGCGTGGATGGTATATAAACAGTTGAAGGTCCGCGCGGACTTTTCGGATCGGCGCGGGCACCCCTCCTTGGCGCGTGGAGCGCGGTGGAGGCCGCGCCAGAGGCGCCGCCAGGGGGGGTCCAGCGCAGATCCAAGTGCGAGGGGGGGCCGCGCGGACTTTCGAAAGTATATGTGAGGGGGGCGGAAGGGGGGGGGGAGACTGCCTCAGGAGGAAGGAACATTGACTTGGAATCGGCGAAGTATCGCCGATAGACGGGCGGTAGGCCTCCGATGGGTGACCCCCACGTGCCTGCGCGGGAAAGGGCACCGAGGCCCAGATCGGCGACTGATTGGCGTTTGGGGGTCGATGCCCCCCTGCCTTGGCCAGCCCCGCCCCCCTGCCCCCCACGGCATCGCTGATTATGTCTGTGCAGCCTTGTCTTCCTCGAGTGAAGGCTCCGCTTCGCAGGGCGGGGGCGCTCTCTCCCCTCGACGCGGGCAGGGGTCGCCCGCGGGCGCAACAGAATCAAACAGCTAACAAAAAGGGTCCTCGGCCAGCGGCCAACCAGCAGCTTTAGTCTCGCCGCCGCCGGCGAGGGTCAGGAGGAAATGCCTCTGAAACAAGCGACGCGGAAAAGGGGGGCCTCGCGAGCAAAGCCATGGCGGCTGGGGATGCCCACCAAATATACCGATGCCACTACTCCCTGGACCTCTCCCGGGGTGTTTGCTGAGCAGAACATCGAGGTGGATCGAGCCGTGGCGACGAGGGCGTCACAGGCCCCACATGCAGAAACCAAGGAAGGGAAGCATCATCGGACTGTTCCCCGTCCTCTGAACGATACCCTGCGCCGAGGCTCACTCACGCGGGCCGCCGACGCGGCGCAGCGCGCGGGACAAATGCCCGCGCACGACCTCGAGCGGGCAGCTCACGCGCAATCGTCCGAGCGAGCGGCCCCGGTTTTCTGCGTCGCCCAGGTGGAGATGAGCCCTCCGCGAGCGACCAGGGACCAGCGCGTCCGTACCCATTCCAGACGTGCTGGGGGTGGATGCTGCTCTTGGGCGGCGCGCGCAGGGGGGAAGGCAGAGGGAGGCGGGCCTCCCCAGAGGGCTCAGAAGGCCTCTGGCCTTGTGAAAATATGTCTAAGCCTAGGCCGAGGGCTTCTTGAGACCCGAGGCCGTCCGAGAAACCCCGCTTCTGAGAAGCAACGACACCTTCTAAGGAGGCATGCCCCCTCTCACCCACCCCGTCGGCGCGTCGCCAAGCTCTTCACTGGCCCGACAGTTGAGCCGCACTGCCTCGACAGAACGTGCAGTCATTGACACGGACAGATACCCAAGCCGCTGGGTCGTGGCCATTGCTTGGGGATATCGCAAAGCGCACGGGTGGACCCCAGGGCGGGTCAGTGATCTACGCATGCAAGGCACAACGTCTGCTCCAGTCCCTAAGACAGATACCATAAGGCTCATCTGAACTACTAGGTATCGCTCTACAATGTGGTCGCCCCGACCTGCTTAAACAGTCCGCTTCAACTGAGAGAACTGCTGAACACCCTTGTTCAACAAGTCGTCGGTTGCCCCTGGACCAATAAACATCATCTGTATCGGGTGCGTTGAAGGTGGCCAGGAGACGAGGGGGTTAACGCAACATAACCAGAGGGCGGTGCGCGGACAAGCAGGGGTCAGGAAACGCACTGAAACAAGAAGAGGACAGAGCGATGAAATCTGGGAGATGTCATGGCCCGGCGCGGATACCTACACACAGAAACACACACATAGACCTCAGAGAGGAGCAAGAACAACATGAACATAAACAATCGGCGGCCCGCGAGAATGTCTTGAATCAACGCTGGACCCCCAGCGCGCTTGGGGCGGCGCTGGAGGCGTCGCTAGGGGGATACACTTTGGTTTTGTGTTAATATGTTATTCCTCTACCTTAGCCCCCTTTCGGACGCCACCGATCTATACGCCTAGCCTGCGCCCGAGGGCGCCCAGCTGGGGCCAGGGCACCTGTATGATCACTCGTCGTCCTGGTCGTCCACGGTGTACTGCACCGTGGCCTCTGCGGGCGCGTCCGCGCTGGACCTCGGTGGCGCGGCCGAAGGGTGGCCAAAGGGGAAAGGGAAGAGGTCGGAGGGCACCAACTGTCCGCCAGACCCCTCGTGGGGCCATCAGTCTGTAGGGCGAAGGTTTGCTGCTCCCTGCGCCAGTTGCAGCTTCAAGTTTCCAATGTGATGGCTCTACTGTCTGCTTCCTACTGCGAAGTGCTACTGAACGTGCGAGGGGAGAGCCGAAAAGCGACAATTTACCACGCCCCTCCGGGGCTCGCAGACTTCCCGGGGGGCCGTGGGACACGTGAAAATACACGAGATTCGCGCCCTTGAAGCCATAAACCCTCCTAGATTACACAATAGTCACGTCCCCGAACCCATACAACCATCGTGAATCATGCAATGTTCGCGTCCTTCAGGCCATAAGCCCTCGTGAATTCCACACTATTCGTGTCCCCGAAGCCATAAACCCTCGACATTTATACAACAGTCGCGTCCCCGAGACACTAAACCCTTGAAAATTACTGAATGGTCGCGACCCCGAACCCATAAGCCTTCGTAAATCACGCGGTGTTCGCGTATCCGAAGCCACAAACCCTTTTAACTTACACCATGCTCGCGTCCCCGAAGCTATACAACCTCGAAAGTTACCCAATATTCGCGCCCTCGAAGCCATAACCCCCTTGTAAATTACAATACTCGCGTCCCCGAAGCCATACAAGTTTGTTTGTAGAGTACGCAAGCATTGCGTCCTTGAAGCCATAAGCCTCGTAACTTACGCAATACTCGCGTCCCCGAAATGCCATATTCGCAGCCCCGGACACAGAACCCCCAGAAAATTACCAAAGATTCGCGTCCCCGGGGTCATACACCCTCGTAAATTACACCGCAGTCTCGGCTTCGAGGCTACGATCCCTCGTGTATTCCCGCAGATTCTCTCCTTCGAGGCCATGGTCTGTAGTAAATGACATGGTACTCGCGCCGTCGAGGCCAAGACCGCGACTAGACGGCCCAAGAAGCATCAAGGAGAGCCGCAAGACGGCACCAGAACAGCGTACGGGCACCCAAGACGGCCCAAGAACCCCTGAAGATGGCGCGAAGAGAAGTCCAAAGCGGGACCACGAACCAAAGATTTGAGCTTTCAGCCCGCGAGGGCGAAAGAGGGCTCCAAGTGGTTGCCAAGCCGCCCCAACAGGCTTCCAAGAGGCATCCCAAGAGGGCAGCCAAAGCCACGCGATGTTGCCCAACGTAGCCTCAAGCAGCCCCGAGTCGCTGCTCCAATACATGGCATACGGACTTCAACAATCCGTTCTGTAACTGGGTCTGCCGCTTACCAATCGCCCTCGCAGGAGGTTCCGACATTGTTTCGCAACGGCAAAAAAGAACACCAGCTTAGCTCTGACATAGCCAATTCTGATGGAGAGGGGGCCAACGGCAGGGGGCGCAACACTTACGGATAATAATGCGAGCAAGCCGTAACAAAAAAGTGGGCACTATCAACACATGATTGTTTCTTATCTGGGTCGCTGGCTGTGGCCTGGCTTCCTTGACGGCGACGACGACGAAAACGATGCATCGAACATACTTGGTTAATCGTCCACTTCCCTGTGGGGCGCTGCGCCCCCCTGGCATTTCTTAATCGCTCGGTCGCATTACACATTACACCTAGGCCCGCGGGAGGAAGAGCGTCATCGGCGGCAGCAGGCACGGCACGCTGTGCGCTCTGGCGAAGGGGTGGTTGAGTAGGGAGGCAAGATCAGTCACGGCTCGAATCGGAACGTGCGTCGGCTCATGCCTAATCGGCACAGGAGCTGAGATCGGAGTCCGATCGGCTGGCCAGTTTCTCATCGCAAGTCATTATTTGGTAGCATTGGGGTTCAAAGCGAGCCTCCAGAGACCACATGGCGACAGACGGCGGACGACGACGGCGACGACGACAACCAACGACGAACGACGACGGCCGAAGATAGCGATGACGGATTGCGATGACGGAAGATGGAGGGCGACGACAACGACGTCGTCGATGACGACGGACGACGAGACGACGGCCGACGACGCCAATCAATCGGAAGATAGCGAATCCGCTCGCCGCTTCCGCTCGCTATAACTCGAACCTCCACTGGACGTTCGGGACGATCCGGGCACTTCTGGAACGCTCTCGGCGCGGCGCAGACGCTGGAACGCATCCCGATCGTCCGAGAACCTTGACACTCGAAGCCAAAGCCTGGCCCTCAGGACCAATGCTGTCGGGCAGTGGCAAGTGGCTACCGGGTGGCGAACGCCCGGGTCCTCCTCTCGCAGGGAAGGAAGTGGGCCTCGTCCTGCAGCGCGGGGTGGCGCCTCCTCGGGCGGCGGGCAATGGGGGGCTGCACGGGTCTCTGTCGTCGCCGCCGCCGCCGGCGTCGTCTCCTGCTGGCGCTGTCGGCGCCCTGCCGTCGTGGTCCTCGTCGCCGCAGCTGCCGTCGTCTTCGTCGCCTCTGTCGGCAGCATCGTCGTCGTCCTCCTCCTCCTCCAGGAGGGGGGGGAGGGAGGAAGGACACTGGACACTCTCTGGAGCGTCCATACGTCATGAGGACGTTCTTGAGCGTAATAGATGGTATTGGGTCGTGGGTTTTGCAGGCGTCTGAGTGGAGGGTTCGCAAATCATGGCCCGAGGCACATGCGCGGACTAGGGGGGCCACTGGACGTGTTGACAAAAAAAGAGGGGGTAATAAACTATCCAGGGAAGTATCACGGCCCCGGCCATGATTTCCACCACCACCACCCGTAGAATTCCTCACACCCCTTTTGGACGACCCCGATTTGTGCTGGCGTCGTCGGCGGCGCCGCCGTCTGCGTCGTCGTCGTCGCAGCTGCTCAGTGGAGCACACATCGAGCTGGACTCGGCGATATATTGCTACAGCCCCCCCGCCGTCCAGGAACGTTCCAATTCTCTTTGGGGGGCAAATCGCAGATCTATGGACGACATATCTCCGAGTCATGCTTCATGTTTCCCCGTCTGAACCTGTTCCACCCTACCGTTGCCCCTGACCTCTGCTCCGAAGAAGACATTTGTTCAGGCGTCGTAAAGAATCGCGCCGGGCAACTTCTTGTAATTTCGGTGCCCAAAAGGGGGCGGCGCCTTCGGCCCCGCCCGGGGGTCATAAGAAACAAAAAAAAACAGGTCCGTGGGCCCTCCTCTGTTTCCCTCCAGAATCGAGGGAGTGTCAGCTGACACTGACGGCTCCCCCGCCCTGCCCGGATCCTCTCAGACCTCTTCTGGAGCTCCAAGCTAAGCTGCAGGTCTCCACCATCCCTCCCTTCCTCCTTTCCTCCATCGGCCCTTCTACTCTCTCCCTCCATTTACCCGCTCTCCTCCTCCTCCTCCTCCTCCTCCTCCTCCTCCTCCTCCTCCTCCTCCTCCCCCTCGTCCTTATCCTCATCAACATTATCAGCAGCAGCAGCAACGTCCCCATCCTCATCCTCATCCGCATCAGCCCAGCATCATCACCATCAACGTAGTCGGCATCATCATCATTAGCAGCATCACCATCAACATTCGTATTACCATCAGCATCGTCATCACCATCGTCATCACCACATCATCAACAGCATCAACATCATAATCACCAACATCATTGACAACATCAACATCCTCACCAACACTGCAATTACCAGCTTTAGCATCATCGCCATCACCACCATTACCAACATGATCATCATCATCGCCGTTGCCATCGTCATCACCATCATCACCAACTCCATGTGCCTCATCATCATAAGCAGCAGCATCCCCGCTCTCCCCCCTCGTTGATCCATATCCGGCGAACATGGTCTAACGATGTCTTTCGTGTGTCGTCCAAAACCTTCCGTCTTTTGGAGAGAACCCCCCCTTTCCCTCCCAGTGGATTTGTGGGGAAGGTCCGCGATCGGTCTGAACTGCCAAGATGGCCCAAGATGGCTCAACGAGGACCTCCGATGCTCCAAGATGGTTGTCAAGGCGGCTCAAGATAGCCGAATATGGTGCATAATAACTTTCGGCACACCTCCAAAAGGACCGGTAGCCACAAGACGATCCCAATTGGTCTCGGAGCCCCCATCACGCCCCCCAGTAAGCCAGCATCCTTCAGTTTGAAAAGGGGGCTGGGAGACCAAGCCGACAGCATCGCCTCAGGCGAAGCCCAGCTCCAGCCCGGTTGTATCGTAGTACCGATAATCCCAATGCAAAACGGGATGCCATGTCAAGTAAAAGGGGCTGCCTTTTAGTATCAATAGCGAAAGTGTGCCTCGCGCGATTCCGCGCTCCATCATCTGTCGTATCCACCTTATGTGTCCTAAAAGGGTACACTCAGTCGGCTTCTCCAAGCCTTTGCTTGACAAGGACTTAAGACAGACTCAGCACCGATGGCCAAGGTGACCTTGATGCTCAAGCCACCCAGCTCAGCCACGTCTTTCAACTGAGGGGGCGTAAGTGGCCCCGCGTGGAGCTCGTACAGAGTCACAATCGTGGGATAACAGTCCTCCAAAATTATGGGTTGCTGCAAGTGTCTCTGCTGAGTAGCTCGAGCGGACTTGCAGGCGGCGAGACGTGCAGTGCGCATCGATCAAGTGAACGACAGGCTTGCCACATGACGTGTTTCTACGTCGTAGCAGGTTTGCCCCGCGAATGCCATAGCCTTTGACGTCGTCGTCGGCGTATCACTCAGGCGTCGGTAGCCTGAGTCGCTATGTAAGTCGACCTCACCCGTGGGGTTCATCGCTTGGTCGACGCTCTTCTTCGGGCAGGCCTGCAGCTTTCTGGTGATCGCGTTCAGTCGTCGCACTTGAATGTTGCTCGGTTCTTGTGCACGGTGTAGAGATGTAACATAGACCATCAACCATATCTGGGTGATCAGTGCGTGTGCGAGCAAACCTCTGAGACTGACTAACTATGCCACCATCTTGGTCGCTTGAGCGTCAGCGTCAGCACCGGTCAAGTCAGGATGTTGCATTGGACGGAGCTGTTTGATCTATGCATCTTGATCCAAAGCGACATTGCCGTACTCATCCTTGCTCTATGTCACAGCGCAGTTCGTGTATGTGTGCTGGTTGAGTCTACACTTACCAGAGGTTTCCTCAACGCATTTGACAGACTTGTCAATGGTGTCCTCAGTACCGGCCATGTTAATGTCATCGACATGCTTGGCCGTGAGCAAATTGCTGCTCGTCTCGAACTCCTCGTCGTAAGACGTAGGTCGGAGGCCGAATCCTCTGGTGGTTCTCCTGAGCGTAAGTGAGAAAGCCCGTGGGGAGTCCTTAGTGCCTGTGCACGGTTTCAAACACTGAAAACAATGCTTTGACTCGTCGTAGTTCTCAAACCCTGGAAGAGCACGGAGCGCAGTTGCCGATCCAGGCGACATGGTAAAGCACACCACACGTTCCTTTTCACATGTTGCCTCAGCGAGTTCCCGATAGGTCAATCTCTACAGGAAGGCCATGTCGATGTCCAGGGAAGCAATGATCCACTGCTCCTTGCACGCTGCCGCGCTGGCAAGTAACCTCTGGCTTGACCATCTGGCTGTCCCCGAAAACGTTTCGACGTCGAAAGTTTCAAGGTCCATGAAGCCTCGAAGCACCAAACGAAGTCGGAGGGTACGTTCCATCTCACCCTGTTCGTGTTTCACGAATTTCCAGGTGTATGCATATCTCGAAGTCATGATGTTCGACGCTTTGGCGATCTCCTGCATTTTGAAGCATCCATTGTCGAACCATGCCTTGAGCTCAGTGAAAAGGGCCTTCGATATTCTCTCGGGGCTCGCCTGAATGTCAGCTTTGGCGAGGAGGTCGTCTTCCTCTACGACCACAGCCCGCTTTGCCGCGGCAGTAACATATACTCGCATAGTGGCCACCCGGTCGGCGTCTAACAACATGTGTGGCTGCTCGGACAAGACTACCTTTGACATTTCTGTCGTAAAGCACAGTTCAACGCATCGACCGTTTTCGTCAGAGTCGAGTCCGTAGCTGTCGTCTTCGACCATGGTGCACAGGGGGCGTAGTACGTCTCCTCGCTATCGGGATCGCGAGTGCGTCCCCACTTCGGCAGGTGTCCTCGCTGTTCATCAGCTACAGTGATCAGCGCACTCTGCTCAGGAACCATCGGTGTGGGTACGGTAAAGAAGTCTTCTAGTGGAGTTGCCTCCAACAGTGCCGTTTTCGTCTCGCAGCTCCGCGTGCCAAACCTCCATGACATGTGACTCAAGATCAGCTTCTGGTTCCTCGTAGATCGTAGACAGCAGTCCGTTACCATGCTCTGGCTCGGCTTCTGAAGCCTCTCTTGCGGCTCCTTCAGGCGTCGGCGCACCAGCCAAGTCCTCAAACTTTGACATGTCCTGATCGAAGCCTGCCTGAGGTTTAGTGGACTTCAGGCATTGGATGATTCGTGAATGTGCTGATCCAGTTATATCATGTATATTCAGAGCAGCACCTTCTGCTTCATAGTGATGGAATCCTGGATTCGCGTCGCTGTCGTAATGGACCAATGTGCAGCTGTCAGCATAAGTAACCGGTGGTAGCTCATGTATACTCTTGGCTTGTAGAGCCAAATGTCCCTTTGGAGATAGACGACTTGCCGTCGCTACATGAAGAGCACCTTTCTTCAACGTCAATAGCTCAATGTCACGCAGGTCTCCCCGACTTGCCGTCGCCACGCACATAGCTCAATGTCAACGCAGGTCTCCCCGCTGACAGGCTAGCTACGAATGTCAACACTGTGCGTAGTGCAGTGTTGTGAGAGCAAATTTCTCTGGCTATGAGTGCTTCAATATAGAGCGAGTGTCTCGCATCGCCGTGTTGTACTGGAAAATCTCGTCGACCTACTCAGATGATGACCTGACCCCTTTCCGGGATCATTCCTTACAACTGGGAACGGGCCGTTCCAGCCTCCCCAGTCACCTTTAGTAGTCGCAGGGCGATGGTGGTCAACCAGATCTCCTTCGTCATAAAAGTGCAGACCTGTAATTGTCGTCTTAGTGCGTAGAACACGATTGGTCTTAGCTACTGCCGTGGCCGTGTAATCGCTTCAATACATACCCTGCGTATTGTCAGTTCACGAGAATGATATGATGCTTCTGTCGGCTGCTCGTGGTCCAGAACAGGAAGGTCAGGGAGCATTGCTGGTTGCCGTCCATACAATGCATTGTATGGAGACACCTCACTGTAGACGGTGAATGCGTTGGCGGCGATCAAGGTTTCGTGCAGCAGTCTGGTGAACACAAGAGGTCTGTCTAACCTATAGAGTTCAGCCTTCACGCCGTGCAGTAGATGACGTAGGATGTCATTTCTGGTCTCGACCGTCGTAGCGTGCTGTCCACGCGCGCGCATTCGAA